TCGTGGCGATTCATGATCTAAACCAGAGCAAGCAAACAATCTATGTGCATGTCGAGTCCTGGAGGAGAGGTGGCAGAGCATCGCGCTTCTGGCCCTCCTCCCGCAGCAAAGCCTGCCACACAGAAACCGAAGATAGAACACCACACACCCAATTTTTTGACGCCTGACGTAAAACGAGCACAACTGGACATCAACCAGCCCGACGCGTGCGTGTCGTTGCAGAAAAGGCAATCCGACATGGCAAGCATCATCTGGGCCGGTGCCGGCTATTCTGAACACAAGCCGCAACATGCAGGTACAGTAGTCTGTGTCCATGGGCAGTCCTGAGCAGCACCAACACTTCCCATGCCTGCACATCGGGATCTTCGAGGAGGCACCGACGCCTTTTTGGGTCCAAGCCTCAGAGGCTGCTCTCGGTGCTCTACGGTCCTTTTTTTGTTAGTATGCTTCGGGCAAAGAAGGTTTGGGGTTCCAGGGCTGAGCGCCCACGAAACGTATGCTCCGCAACTGTTACAAGCAGGAACTCTGGGTCGAGCCGTGGAAAGCGTCTATCGCAAAAACACGTGCTAACGAAGGTTGTTGCCTCCTGTGCCATCGTTGCCCCGCATGGCTCCGCTGACCATGGCACAGAGAGAAAGTTCATGCTAAGTTGCGAGGCAAGGAGTTGTGGGGACATGGCAGGGCGTTGGGTTCAGGGTCCCAAGCGCTTGGACTGAGACCTACAACCCGAGAAGGTAACTTCCGGGCTTGGGATTGCCATTGTTGCCGGGTATGTGAAGATGCTGTGAAGAGATAGCAAGCCGAATCGCGATCAAATCAAGATGGGCCACCTGATAGGTTGTGCGAGTGTTCCTACGGTCCTACAACTGAAGCTACTTTTCCAGCCGAAAGATCCAAGACTGTGTCGACCTAATTGCCAAGCCTGGTCACGGCTGCGCTTGAGGCCAGTCAATATCCAGGTGTCCGCGTGACCGGGCGAATCCTGAATGCGCAAGACCTTCCATGTCAAGCCCCTGAAGCTGAAGCAGCACAACAGCCAAGTAACTTTTCGAAGTCGCTCCAAAGCTCCGGTGAACCCATGAACCGTGCCGCCGTTGTTGCGGTAGACCTAGTAGCCCCAAGGCAACTCAAGCTAACTGTATTGCCGCCTTCCATGCTGGGCAAGCAGCACACCTTGGTGACCCAAGGGTACTCCACTTGATCTTCTAGCCTCCGCGATTCAAAGCCATGCGGCTGGAGCTACAAGACAGCCCATGCCAAGCTCAGACAGCCGAGGACAAAACCGGGGCAGCGACTCCTCTTCGACTCCAAACGCATTGAAGTCGTAGAACGCTCATCAAGCCCTTTCTCGCTCCAGGCCTGAGGTTGGTTCCTACTGGATGTGGCTTGAGGCTGTTGTTTTCTATTGGGATTAGGGCTCTGACAGCTCTGAGCTTGGTGGCGCAAAGTCTTGTTCTACCGCGCTGCTGCTGCAAGACCTGTACATCCTCCGACTACGCAAGGTAAGCCTTTGGGAGACTTGCACATAGAATATCCCAAACTGGTGCTGGGTATTCCAAGACAGTGGCCAACACTAAAATCACAGCAGGAGCTCTTGGCTGCACGGTGTAACAGCTTTTCTCCAACAGGCTTTCTGGTTGTATTCAATAACAACAAGATTCTTTTTCCCGTGGTGCACCCCGGGCACTCTGCAAAGGAAGCTTGTTTTAAATGGAACTAAAATGCAGCACCTCTATACAGCTCCAAACCAGGATTTCGCCCGGTCTGCGACGATTGATCTTAGGGGCGCACTGTAGACACTGCTATAATATTGGAACTGAAACGCAGCGCCTCTTGGGCCTCTTGCTCTGCTCTACACCAAGACTTCGCCCAGTCTGCGATCATTGATCTTCGCGAGTTTCTTCTGAAGCTCTTGGGAGGACTCTTCGATGGCCACACACGTCTCATCACATGAAGGTTCCTGGATCACTTCACCCTCATCATTTGTCACATGTGTCTGATTTCTTGGGTTGCGGGGCAAGGCTTTGCTGCCGAAGCCCTGAAACGCAAGGCCATTTTCTTTTGAAAAGGGCACACCAAGAGAATCCTTATCTTCGATCTCAGTACAAACGGGCACGCCAACTCCTTCATCCTCATCATGGTTGGGGAAGGCCAACACATCCATGGCATCTGCGTCATTTTCAACGGTGCCTTCCAAGCCATCATCGGCCAAGAGACAGAGTTGCTGATCTGGCATCTCGTCATTGGACATCGATGTCTCGTTCTCGCTCAACCTTCTCCGGCTGTTGCATGTCAAGCGGAGAGTCAGCTTGGACCCCCAAACCTCGGTCATCTTGCGCATGCCCAATGACCGACCCCGGCAAGTGCGAGTGTTGTCGGTGCCTCGCCAGGTAAGGGAACTAGTCTCAGCATAGAAATACCAGACACCGTTGGTGGTTCTCAAGGTGTTGCCATCGGCATCACTGGGAGTAATGGTTTCTCCCGACCTGATGTTGTACCAACACACTGACCTCCATGAGCCACCGGTCGGGAGATACCGCAAAGCAAGAGAAACCTCCCTGTGGCAATCATTGGTAAGGGAGAACTTGTACTCTTTGGTCTGAGATCGGACTGTGAATGCAAAGTATGGCTGGTGGGTATTAGGCCTGGGAACGCGATAAGTCCCACAGTCATTGCAGTTGCAGCGGGGAATGCAGAAAGTGCAAGGCACGCAACACCTGCACTCATCCGTCCAATGGTTGTAGGAGGCAATTCCAACTGTGCCTTTGATCAAGGCATTTCCTGCAACAATGTCTCTGATCGTCCCGGGGTTGCTCGCCAGTTGCTTGATAAA